GGTCATTTCCTATGAAAGCTTATACTAGGCATTTTAGAGCTCTAATGAAAAATTGGGTATGGTGGACACTTGTAGCTAGTTTACAACTAAGGACTCTATTTTAAGAAGTTTGTTTCATTGGAATTTTGTAGATATTATTTTGTTTTTTAAATGTTTGTTTAAGTCTAAAAACTTCAACAGTTCAACACCAAAGAACTTTAATTTTTCATTGTCTTAAAGGAATTTATTAAATTTTTGAATTTAAGGGAGGTTGTTAAGAAATTTAAGTGGTTTATTTAATTTCATTATATTCAAATATTTAATCAATTCGTTTGTTCTACTTTTTCTTTAATTAGTATAAAGAAGCATTATTTATCATTATTCTTTCATTCTTGATTGTATCTTTCTTGGAATTTGCCCATATGGGAAAGATTCCTCTCTCCTTTTTGTTATGTTTTTTTTTTTTGAAAAGTTTACACCTTTTGCCTCACTTGGTCTGGTCTCTCTTGTATAAATAAAAGAAAAACCTCAAATCCTATGTTGTTTAAGAAACTCACCTTCTCACAACTAATATATTAGGATGTAGGGTTGGTATTTGTCTTGGGCTACCAAACACACGTGCCAATTACACCCACACTATGTCGGGTTGCACGTGTGCAATAGCTCCTCCATGGTTCATCATTATTTTCTTACTCGTTCCTCTATTGTGTAATGGATGCATCTGGTTAGAGAAATAATTATAATGATTGGAATTCTTTCCGGATTTTGATTTTATAGGAAATTTGGGTGAAAATCATATATATTTATATCTATCTATATATATATATATTTTGGCATGTTTATTATGGTGGTTTTTTTTGGACATATCCCCCATATTTCCAATACAAACTTATGTCATGTTTAAAGTATTGGTTCTTATCAGTTGATATGTATTGATTTTGGAGCTTATTATGGCAAGCAGCAGAGGTGGAATGGCTGATGCACTATTCTGTTCCACTCATGCCAATCATATCAATTGATATAGTCATTGTTAGAGAATAATTAAATACCTATTTAATGCCCGTTTGGAAAGGGCTTTCTGGCGTTTTGACTTGGGCTCCACATCATAATGCTAAGAGTTGCATTTGGTAAAAATCAAGAAAGCCAACAACACCCAAACTAGTGTTCAACCACCGCAGTTCAATTAATACAATGCCCCCCAAACATAAGCCCTCCCAAATGGGCTATTAGATACCTCACCGTTACATCTTAAGCTTTTAAGTTGAATTGTTCTTTGAGATGATACTGGGGCCCTTTTTGATCAAGTGGTCAAGTGTTCGATCATCATCATCTCTATTATAATTAATTAAATTTCAAAATTAGGTATGGGTGGGCCTATATTTGTACATGCTTCAAGCACAATGAGCCTTTACGTGATAGGGTAAGTTATAAAATAAAACCTATTCAGGGTCCTTACCTAACAACTTAAGCTTTTAGGTTAAATTGTTCCTTGAGATAAGATTTTAGGTTCAATGATTCTTTGAGATGATTTCAAAGCCTATTTGACCAAGTGGTTTAGTGTTCCTTCCTTATTGCCCACATTATGATTAATTAAATTTTAGCACAAGGTATGGGTGGGTTTGTACTTGTCATTTCTTGCAGCTTATGGGCTTTGCATGATGAGGGGTGTGTTAGAAAATAAATACCTCCCTTGTTAACTCACCTAATATCTTAAACTTTTAGGTTGAATGATTTTTTGTTGCTATTAAATCTCCCTCCTATTGATGTCATTAATTTCTACCAACACACCAGTAACTCTCCTTTTCTCTCTCATATTAATTCCTATTCTCTCATTAACTCCCATATTTAACCCTCTCTTTTCATTAACACACCATTAACTATCTCTTCCATTCATGCTATTAATTTCCATTAATCATGTCACTCACTCTCTCTTATATTACTCCTATTCTCTCTCATTAAATCCCATATTTAATTCTCTTTCACACACTCTCTCTTCTTATTAACATGCTATTTATTTTTTTTCGCTTCTTGGAGCTAAACAATGGGGGCTAGCTGTCCCCCATATCCATAACCCCAACCCTGGTGGTAACAAGATTGGGTCTCAAGTCTTTGCTACAACTAGAGAACATACCAATTGAGCCACCACCTATTTGTAACTTGACATTAATTGCCTTTTACAAAAAGCTGCAAAGCAAGGATGTTCAAACCTGAGTGTCTAAGTTGGGAGGCAACAACTCTACCGCCAAATCATACTTCAATTACTCATCATCATTATGTGATTTCTAGATTTTAATTACATTTGCTCTTCTTAATTTGTGCTTATTAGCAATTTTTACAAGTATTTGATTATTAAAATGAATATATATTTATAAGTACTAACAATAATCATGTTGGTTTTTCAAGAAATAAGATATACATGCTACTGGTGCTTAGTTCTATGTGTGTCCCAATAGTTCATACTTCACATAAACTTTTAAAATATTCATTTTCTATGTATATTCCTTATTTATAGTCAATTAAAACCTAGATTAGTGTTTTTGATTTTTTGGAATTTATTTGCATTTTTCTAACATATCTAGGTGTATCTTAACATGTCTCTTAAATTCTCTTTCCAATGCTCTTTTTGTTTCCGATCCTTTGTGCCTTGTCTATATTATATAATGCTTGTACTTTCATTATTTTCTGTGCAATATTAAACCAATAAATTGACCACATTTTCTAACTCAATCCAGTTATCCAATTATAGTTGGGAGAATGACGGTTCAACCCAGGATCAGAATTTTTAGGCCCAAAGTACAATTGGGGAAGGTGCCAGCTCGGAATTGATGCCAATTCACAAGTGGGAATTAATGTATAGAATGAGGGTTTTTGACATTTTGAGTGTTTATAGATCTGCAGTGGAATTCAGAAATCTGCATTGGGTCTGTCTGTACTTTTCCGATTCTAGTTAAACATATGCCCAAACCTGACTTGAACAAATGGAAAAATCTATGATATGAAAAAGACATGGTACTGAAAGAGGTTTGACCAATCGAAGCCATCCAATGAATTTGATGAATACCTTTTGATTTGTCCCCTCTTTTATGACATCAATTGCAATTGATTGGCTACAAATTTTCTGATATCATGTCTTTCCAGTACCATAGTTGAACCCTAAATAAATCTAATTCAAACTCAAATCAAATTAAATCCGATTGGTTTGTAGCTGTAGAGCAGATTGTGCCAGATGAGATGAGCTATCTTGAGTAGGAAGTTAGGCCAGGCTGAGTGATGATGAGCCTATGGCCTAACTTCAGCAAATTTCTCCAAAATTTTCATCCAGATCTGACTTAGAGCCCGATTGAGAGGGCTTCTGCATTGATTGAGCCGCTTTAAAGAAGCTATCTAAGATAGCTTCAGGGATAAAAATTTCATCACATATCCGCCAATATATATCTTATCGGAGCCTTTCCAATACACTTCTACGGGGGGTGTTTTGGGTTGGCGAGTGGTTCAGGGGTAGACTGGCCTTAAACCGGCCCCTTTGAACCAGTTTCAAAAAACAACATAAAAAAACCTACCGGCATATCGGCCTATATTGATGTTTTGAACCTTGAATAGCTTCACTGGAAAGCCAATTTTACGACTTGTACAATTCAGCTTTTCGGATTTTTACTAAAGATGGTTTCATAGTGTTCTAGGTTTCTCAGCTTATATAATGCCATTAGCCACTGCATGAAAACCCTCCCAAATGGGCACACTTGGCATTAGACTAGGGGTTGTTGGCCTGTTGGGCTCATGGTTGTATTAGTGGTTTGTCTAGTTGATGAACATGCTACAATGGAACCATGGTTTTGTAGCTGCTGCTGTTGCTGGTTCGTCACACAAACAATACTCACGTATTTTATGAACCATGTTTTACCAAGAAAAGAATATTTTTGGACTATGAACAGAATAACTTTTTTTAATGGCACTTTCATTTTCAAACAAAAATTGTTATGGTTCTGAAACTATACCATCATTTTTTACAACCACGAACTGAACACCACCTAGGTCAATCCCACCAACAAACTGCCTGACCAAGTCCTCTCTTGTTTCTTATGTGGTCCATGACTGTTCTGGTTCTAACAATCGAGAAGCATGAGGGTTAAGATTAAGATATTCATAGGTAGAATCTAACAAATCAATACTGCAGATTTAATCATAAGAGATAAGAAGAAGCTTAGGCAAGAACAGTAGGAAAGAAGTAAAAACAACTATTGATCATAAATTTTTGGTCGAATCATACAAGTAATCAGTTCCGTACAAAGAAACAGATATAACTTAAAACCTATGAAGTATCTAATATAATTAATGCAATACAGAACAAACTTACATTCATTTGGCGCATAAATATCAAATACTGGGTCTGGGTACTTAGACCTGACATGAAAGGAAGATATGATGCAGAAAAGCAGCTAAAAACTTTAACAAATCTTTATTTCCAAGAACTACATGAGAAAAAAGAAAGGCTGCATAAGAAACTTTTTCTCAGATTCTCTTAATGGAATGTCAGCAGAAACAGGAATACACAAAATGGTTCCTCTTAGAAACATATGATGAGATGAAATCACTGGCAGAAGCAGAAGAATTAGATACTTGAGCTGGAATGAGTATTTGAGTCTTGCCAGAGGTGATTCTCTTTCCAGCAACATTTGCATAGAAGAGGCCAGAGATGGCAGGAACAAAGACATCACTCTGAGAACAGATATAGAAGTCAATTGCACTCTCTAAACTTCCCGAGTTAAGGAACTTGTACTTCTTTTCTGCTGGCATTATATTTTCCTGCAACAATTTCAAAATCCACAGGTTGCTATTAAGTTAAAGATTGTATAACTAGCAACTTTAAATGAGAGAAACATGTAATGTCATTTCAGCCTAAAAAGGGTACTCCATACTCCATAGAATACAACTAGTAGTAGAAAATTAAATACAAAAGATGGCTAACAGTAAGAAAGGTTTTCATATAATTCTATGGTTAAGATGGCTACCATAAACCTACAAAGCCTTAATAATGCAGGAGAAACCAGTGCCTTGTATACATGCACTACATGGCATATTGTATATGGCATGGGCAACCATCATGATTAAAATGATTAAAACACCAGTTAAAAGAAGCCTCAGATTTTTCTCTCTTCCATTCTTTAAGTATAAGCTTCTTAGTCAGATATCTATATCATCTACTGCGTATGGATACCACTCATTTTTTGTCATATTATATGGAAAAGTATTTATAAGATGATTTTAAATGCCATTGCAATAGAAAATGTAGGTTAATGGTTAGGATGCAGAGAATTTCTTACCTTTGTATATACATTTGGAAAGATTTCCTTCAGAGCATCAAAACTGCTGTGCCACCAAGACTGAGTCAAATAAATTGTAGTGCCCCTGCTAAAACCAATTTTTCTCAAAAACTCGCCAATCTCCTGTGCATTATAACAACTTTTCTTTCCACTTCCTTGGCAACCCTTTGACTCCAGCATCTCCACTCTCAAGTCCACTGCAATGAATTGACCATCTGACTTCCGACTCAAGGTTCTTAGCCTCCCAACCATTGAGTCCACTACTTCATGAACCTCAGGTTGCAATTTCAGAGTATGAAACATTGCCAGGCATGCAATTGAATCTGAATCCTTCTTCTCTTCTGTCTTTTTCATGTTTACGGATGGAAAGTAAGTGACAAGCCTCAAAGTGCCCGTTGTTCTGAATATTGGTTCAATCTGTTCTTCTATAAAGTCTTTAGTTACCCAATTTGGTACCTTCACAACAGCAAGTTTTCCCTTAGATATTTGAGCAGGCTGGTCCTTTGATATTTCAATCACTCCATCCAAGCTTTTTACAAACTTCTCCACATCATATATTTCTTGGAAGTTCCTGTAAGTGATTCAAATATTGTAATTTCAGGACTTAGCATCTAATTGTTCCATGTACGCCATTAAAGATTCTGTAGAAGGAAAATTAACAAGGACAGTAGAGGGGAAAAAATAGGAAGCATATTTGCTAGTCAGGTTAATTCAGGGTAATACGCCCAAGAATCTTCCATGTAACATGATGCTTTCAGGGTTATAAGGGGCCAAATGTTCTTCTTGTCAACGTCTCCATTCATGAAGAAATGTTCAGCATAAAAGAAATGCATTGGGTTGAATCTGGAATAGATCCAATCACATCTAGATCCACATAAGAATGGAGAAATGAATTTGAATGTGGCAATTTAGAAGATTTTATCTAATGAACAGTTGCAACTTAGAAGATTCAAATGTGGCAATTTACAGTTATTTCTTATACAAACCTCTTCTCACCCAACTTAGTTCCCCTGATGTCTGGGAGCACTAATGTAGCTCCCAGATATCTTGCAACAACCACTGCATCAACAATCTGATCAAATAAAGATAGCAGTTAGAAAAACATATAAATTTTGAAGGAAAGTTGATAACCATAATGGATATGGAAGGCATGCCGAGAAAATAGATACCATGTATTAATCCAACTCATGAGCAAAGACTTCTCATACAAGTTACACTTCTCATACCGTGTATTAATCCAACCATGCAGTTAGACTGCATGGTTGAATGCTGTAACATTCAACTTAGACCAGCTAGATTGCATGGTGAAGGGGAAGATGATGAAAAGATTACAGAGCACAAAAGTACTAGCTAATAAGTCAGAAACTACACCATCCTCCTAATGAAATTAGAAAAACACAGAACTAATCATGATCAAACAAGTCATTGCATGAATGAATTATCAAGAATAACATGATTTAATGTCCAACTAAATAAACTGCCTAATGGGATAAATCTAAAGTACATGATAAGTTATCAGTTTACAGAACAGTACCAGCGCAAATGGTTCAACTGAATTGTATTAAGCCTTGCTTCTAATTTCTACAGATTATCATTGTAAAAAGGACCTCACGTAACTACTTTTGAACCAAATTTAAGACAATCATTACTTTAGCTTCTCAGGAGAAAAAAGGATAAACTCATCCAATTGAACGATCAATAGTATCAACCTTATAAGCCATTAATTTTAATTTTTGGACTCTTTGCCATAGCTTCAACAAATGGATTAAATAGTTATGATAATCTGAGGTTGACCCTGAGAAACATTATTATCCAGTGAAACCATGCAATGGTGTTCTAACCTCCTTGCTTCCTTGAATGTGGGCTTAAGCATAGAAAATGACTATGGTTGTTTTTCTTGCACTTCATAAACATAAATTTCAAGTAGCAATCATGATTCAAACACAACGATCAAGTAGAAGCACATTGCATACCTGTGATATATGGTATTCAGGACCATTGGTCAATGAGAATGTGATAAAACCTTTAGACCGCTCGTCCTCTTCTCCACCCCACAAAGGAAAAGATAAAGAAATGCAAAAACAGAGACACAACATAGATAAGTTTAAGAAGACACTATGGCTTTTGTTAAACATCAAATGAAAAAGAACTTACTTGGTTCTGGTTTACTCCAACAAGGTTTTAGCTCTGGACTGTCCTCCTTCCAAGGCGCATTCCCAACCTTAGCAAGTGATACATGACGTTGGTCTGTAACCCTATCAAACTGGTCACCTGATGTCCCAGGAAGGGTTACCTTCTGCAAAAAATTTATACCATAGGTAAACATTCATCAATGATTTCACTTCATCAAACTTCAAAAAAGAAAAGAGTAAATTCATTAGCTTCATATGCTCTTAATTAAGACTTATATAAACACATCTATCTCATTGCAGGTGAACTGAGTAAACCGTAACTTAATAAATAAAGAACAAGTGTAAAGACAAACGCTTCATAATGCACAGCCTTCCCTTGTGTTGTTAAAGGAGAGGGGAAAGAGGAAAAGATGTACATATAGATACAAAAGAAAAGATTTAAATCTGAACACAAATACATGTATGCACAAATGAAAAGCAAACTGAAGAAATCTGGGCTTGCATATATAGGTAATACTCTGTAACTTCAGAAGACAAATTCATTCTGCTAAAATAAACTAGAGGGAAAGGGAGAGAATGCAGTTGCAGAGTACAGAGAGCTTCTAAGATCCGTTATGGATAAGCAAACAGAATGATAATATCACTAATAAAGCCAACATCGATTGCCGACACAACTTATTGCAACAGCAGCAACAACGAATCTTAACAGAAACATGTCCAATCAACCCAATTATCTAAATGAAATTGAACTTGCATTCAACAAAGAACAATTGGAGACGTAAGATATTAAATAGTCAATGAAAAATGGAGAACAACAATATAAGTAAAATTTGGTGAGGATTCCTTATCCCATTAGTGTTATAGAGAATCACCCATTAGAGATAGCAACAGATCAACCGAAATGAACAGAAATTCATCTTCAAGGAGAAACAGATACTTATTCCAAAAACAAAAGGAATCTAAGCAGTAATTCAAGTAGAAGAAGAATTCGACTTAAATTCCACTATCAGTTGTTACTTACTTCAACAGGATCAAAATGATCTCTCTTTATCATGTTGACAATCAGGCCAAACATAGTCAGAGTAAGGAAAGCACTAAGAATCTGCTTAGGATCCACTGCCATTTTCAGATCTAAACCAAAAGAGACCAAACTCAAAAACCTCAACACTGTCACTTCCACTATCACTCTCAGATCTCTGCCCTAAACATCTTCATTTCCAACCTCTGCCGACACTCTAATAATCCAGCCCAACTAACCAAGATTTGAAGAAAAACCAAAAACTTAGTTCAGATCAAGACAACCTAGACAGCTCACCAGGTAGAGAACAAGAAACCCAGAAAAGAAACCCAGAATTGAGAGAGTTTAAATGGCGAATTAACAGGTTATTGTAGATTTTCGACGCCTCTTTCTTCGGTTTGTTCAGCAATATACGACACTAAAAGGAGAAAACGATAGACTGCCCGAAATTGTAATATAATTAAATCCAGATTAAAAAAATTAAACATGTTTTTTTTTCAAATAAACAATTGATTTTTTTTTTTATTTTCTTCAATCTCTATTTTTTTCGAGTGATCAATGATGGAGAATGAAGGAGACTGGGACCAAGGCAACTTGTAAATTGTAATTGTGAAGTCTGAAATCTGAAGTGCACTAATTTAATAATTACTGTGAGTTTTTCCTAAATACTATTTTAGAACAAGACTTCTGAACTTTATATTTGTCTAATCAAGCTTTAATTAGGGTTTCTGGTTTTTGACTTAATCGAGCTGTGTATGGCAGTTTGTTTGAGAAAGCACCGAGATTAGCGGGGTTTTACAGTCCACAGATTTTTCCGATTTACCAGCTTGAGAGAAAATGACATACGGTCCACCGGATGTCCGAACTACCCGACCGACAGACCCTGAATAATAAGAGTCGGAATCTGCTGCACGCCTGTCTGTGTACAACGTGCTACCTAACCAATCACGAGTGAACACGCCTGTCTGTGTTTTGTATATCTGGGACCATCTACGTGCTCTCTCGTGATTGGTTTACATGACAAGTGATTGACGGCGTTGCCTGGATCTCTTGCCCAGGAGAACCCTGTCCACGTTTATTGTAGCCATACATGGAGAACATCTTTATCCTCTGCATAATATTATGCAAGGGGAGATATTTCCAATTCATAGGGGGTGGTGTATCGTGGGCAGGGTTCTCGTGAGAGAACAATATATTGGAATATAATATCCTTACCTCCTAAGCTTTTATAACCATGAAAAAGAACCCTCGTTTAAGAAGTCAAATTTTATTTGACGCTTGTTATTTTATTTGAGTGTGAGTAATTGTAAAAAATAAATAAATTTCTTTATATACGTATAAAACATTTTTAAATCTCAATAAATTTGATTAATTATTCAAATTCAAAATTGACTTAGCATCTATTTGGCATTGATGTCGTTGTTCCAGAAAACGGTGACACATCAGCGTTACGTCGAAAAAAATGGTGTTTTAGAAAACGTATGTTTGTTTGGAACCATTTTTCTATAAAAACCGGTGCTCCAAGCCACGCATTGGAAATTGGGAAGGCATAGCTTGGAGAAACGTTGAATTTGGTGTTTCCTAAAGCTGCAGCTCATTACTGTCAATAAGGACATGATGTGGCATTGGATAATAGGTACCAGTGCTGAAAACGTTTCCTGGAGCATTGGTACCAAACATAAAACATTGTTGTTGCTTCAGGAAACTCCTACCTGACAGCAACGTTTCCAAACAAAAAAAAAAAAAAAAAACATCGTTTTCTTAAAAAATGATTCTTCCAACCCATACATCAGCAGCACTATATCTGTAGCATCAAGGTCAAACATATACTTGTAAGTTTGGCTTGAAAATTTTGTGATTTCAAGCTTCAAATCAAACTCGAACTTATCAAATATTTAGTTGAACTAAGCCAAACCATGCTGAAAGTTCAGCTTGGCTTGGTTCAATTGGACCTCTATCTAGTAGATCCAATATCAAATAGTGGGGTCTAAGCGGACAAGTTTTAATCGGGTTGAACACCTAACTACATTAGCAGTAGATTACTGAATGGAAAATAAACCTATTAGGAGAAGTAAATGGGTCTATTTTTATAATAAATTATCAATTAGATATTACCCCTTCATCACCAATTATGGTTGTCAATCGGTTTAGTCTGGTTCAGGACAGGGTGTCAGTCTTGAACCAATTCTCAATTGGGACAAAATCATAGACTCATAATCGTCCCGATTATTTATCTAGATAATTGGGTCTGACTCAAATAGACCCAATCATATTAACATCTATAATTATGTATATAACAACTTGGAACTTGAGTTCTGATGATATAACCTTAATAAAAATGAGAGTAGAATAGTAAATTATTTATATTTGGGTCTTAATCAATTTAAAACAAGAATAGAAACTGGCCCAATTATTAATCAAGACTAAATCATAGAACCAAAATTGATACAGTCAGATTTGGTTGGTTTGGTTTGATCAGGTAGAACCCTCTACCTACCCGTTTACAGCCCTAGCACCAATTATTTGATGGGTAGGGTTTAGAAACCTGTCACATTTATAGAATGGGGCATGGGGGTACTTCCTTTTGTTGTGATAGAAAGTATTAGGTTGAAAATAACTATGGTCTAAAAGCCTTTCCAATTAGATAGGGTGTTGGATTTTAATCTCATTAGAGATTAAATCTAATGGGTTTGATTGGTCAATTACATGAGAAATTACACCTATACACTTGTTTTAGAAAATAAACTTTTTTCTTATTGAAACTAGTTTTGAACTTGTCCCACATTGGAAAATTACAAGTTTTGTTTTGTGTTTTTTAATAGGAACTGATTTACACTCCTTAGAAATAGAAGAGGAGAGTATGGAAGCTTGCTACATACTCGTGTATGCGACACAATGTGGCGTGTATGGAACTTGTCCCACGCACGCGTACGCGTGTATGCGACACAATGAGGCGCTCTAGAGGTGCACTTTTCTTGCGAAGGGTGGCTTTGGCCTTTTGGTGCAATGCTAACTGTTGATGTGATCAACGGCCACGATTCGATCAGTTGTGATCAAGAGGCACAATTCAATTAACTGTTAACTTCTGTTAACTACCTTTCAAACAATCACAATGCGTTCAAGGTGCCTTTCTTTGAACCAGCACCTTCCTTTTCTTCATAACTCTTCAGAAACTATTTAAGGAGCATGAATCAGGCATTACAAAACACAATTTCGAAATCACTTTCTTTCTTTCTCAATTTGGCCTGCTACAGTCTCACAAAAGGTTCCTTTGGAGACTCTTCAATTTTGCTGGTTGCAGATTCTCACCCAAGGCTTTATTGTATCCTGGGAATGGATTTGCCTGTAACCCAACAACAAACTCAATGAAACTGAGTGGGGACAAATAATGTTCTAAAGACAGTGTTTTTAGACGCGCCTCAGAGCTTTTCCTCCAAGTTTCAGTGACCCCATTTTCTAACAATTTTAGAACGTTATTCTGCAATGGAGGCAGAAGCAAGCATGACTTCGATCACGATGATGAACCAAGATCTTGTTTGACTAGACCAGTTCGATGAAGCAAATTTCAGTCGATGGCAAGACAAGATGATCTTCTTTCTGACCACACTCAAACTATACTATCTTCTGAATCCAAATCTGTAATCACTTCTTGAACCCACTAACAAAGACTCTAAAAAGCTGAAGAAGGAAAGAGCAAAACGAGAAGATGACTCACTTCCGTGCCGAGGACATATATTGAACGCCTTATCAAACTGACTCTACAACTTCTACAAGGAACTTACATCTCCAAAAGGAATCTGGAAAGATTTGGAATTCAAATACAATGTGAGAGAAGTAGGTACGAATAAGTATCTTATTGCAGAATTCTTTGACTTCACCATGAACGACCATAAGCCCATACTGGAGCAAGTTCACAAACTATAGGTGATAGTTAATAAAATCCAATCCCTTGACATCATCCTTCCTGAATCTTTCCAAGTGGGAGTAATAATTGCCAAACTTCCACCTTCTTGGAATGATTACAGGAAGAAGCTTCTGCATAAGGCTGAATAACTTACCTTGGAGAAAATTCAGCAACACCTTCGTATTGAAGAAGAATCTCAGATTAGAGATAATAGGGATAAGACCCGGGTCGGTATGCTGAACTCTAAAGTTAATTTTGTGGAAAACAAATCAAAGAAGACTAACCCTACATTATAAGTGATGTAGCGCGATCTGGTCACTCCTAGCTGGCAGGGGCCTCGCTCCTAAATGAATGGCAATGGACAACACCTGAGAAGGAGAAGATGAAGGATTCCTGGGGAGCTCGCCCGACGGGAACACTCCGATGCTTAAGTTAGAACTCAGTGAAAAGCTTAGGGAATAATGACGAGCTAAGAGTGAAGATGCACACTACTCGATTACCAAAAATTTAATTACCTTTTTCCTTGGGGGTCGGAGCCCTTATATATTAAAGTGCTGCGGAATCGGGTGTAACCGCCTCTGATTCTCTGCTACAACCGTTATTCGTCAGGCTGATTTGATTGGCGCAGGTATCTGTCACAGGGTACGGTCCTGTCACTTGAGAGACGTTATGTAGAGCTGGCGTGTACGCCGCCGCCTGACGTAAGACGTGGACGCAGTCCTCTGGACTGGCAGGTGCTGCGCCGCCGGACAAGAGATGTGGGAGCAGTTTGACAAGCACAGTCTTGCCGGATAAGAAGTTTCCTGAAGACTCTGGGTTACTCAATAGCGAGCTCCTTTGTAGTGAGCTCCCTTGTAGCGAACTCCTTCGTAGTGAGCTCCAATAGTGAGCTACCATGTAGCAAGCCGTTTTGTAGCGGGCTGTAGCAAGCTGTAGCGAGTTGTCTTGTGGCGAGCTGTTCTGCTGGGGTTTCAGCGAGCTCATTAGGCCGAGTTGTGGCCAAGCTGTCATGCTGAGCTGTCACTTATGTCGAGTCATATCCACGTGTCCCTTAGTTAGGAGGTCGGGTCAAATCACCCTCCATCAATTGCCCCCCACTCCTCGGGCTAAGGGTCTTACTCTAGCGCGGGGAGTTCATGAAGTGATGGGTGGATTTGACCCATAATTTAAACTAGGTTGACTGATCGCATGATGTATACGCGCGGATGTCAGGCGACTTCTGGATTTTTTGAGCGATAAAAAATGCGCCAAACTGCCTTCAGTTTCGGAAGATGTGCAGTCAGCTTTATTTCAGTCTCGGAGGACTTGCAGCCGGCTTTATTACAAGCCACTGGATCTGCTTTGATCAAGACCGTTGGTTGTTTGGGCATAGTGGCTATAAATAGGAGGGCCCCAGACCTCATTTTCTTTATGCCAACTTGCCTTGCTTTCAGTTTGAAGTCGCGCCTTCACCTTGTTTGCTCGAGCTCCCTCCGTTTTCGTCGCTTTCTCAGTTCACTTTCCTGGTGAGTCCTCTATTTTGTCCAAACAAGGTTTGG